AGAATAGATTTTTTTTTTTTAGGTAAGAAAACCATGTTTAATTTTATTAGGAATTCCCGAAGTGTTTTTCAAAGTAGGTATACCATTTATGTTCCTACCAGCAATATATAGGAATCCTGGTGGCATACTGAGTTAAATGTTGGGATGCTAACTGAAAGGTCACTGGTTCAAACAAATTGGAGATCCTGCAGGAAAAAGTCAAGATAGTCTACTCTGGTGAAGAGTAACAGCTTCAGAAACCCTGTTGGATATTTCTATTCTGTCCTAAATGATCACAATGAGTTAGAATCAACTAAAGGACAATGCGTCTGTGGAAGTTATACCACATCTTAACTAACTAGTCTCTTTATCTTTAGCTACTGTACTAGCTCTGGTGGCCTAGTGTTAAGAATCGGTGCTGCAATCCTGAAGGCAGTGGTTTGATTCCACCAGTTGCTCCAAAGGAGGATGAGCAATCTCCTCCTGTGTGATTACTGCTTCTGTAAACCTGCTGGAGGGTCAGCTATAGGTCAGTTCCAACTTGATGGTACACAAGAACAACATTGTACTATGTTAGTATCAATATGTCCCTGAGTGAAGCAGTTAGGTACCTGCTCACTATCAGAACGATTGGAAGTTTGAATCCATCTGAACCAAACCTGGCATTCTTTTTGAAAGGTTAAAGCTTTAAATACCTTATGGAGCTGTTATACTCTAAATACATAGTTACCATAAGTTAAAATGGACTCAACTGAAACTACATGGAATAATGATAATATCTCAGTATGACATCAATGTGTATTCCTTTAATGAGTATGTACTGATAATGAGTTTGAAAATGTGCTTATTAAACATTTATATACTTTCTCAGAAGAAATGTATGTTTCTCAGAAGAAATGTATGTTTCTCAGAAGAAATGTAAGTGCCTGATTGTCATTCAGTTGCTTGTCTTTTTATTGATTTGTGAAAGCTCTTGATAGAAATCCCTTATCAGACATATGATTTGTAAATATTTTCTCTTAATATGTTATTTTTAAGTTCTCTTGACTTATTTTTTGGCAGAAAAGGTTTTCTGTTGTTTGGTGGGGTTTTTTGTGGGTGGATTTTTTTAAGTTTTAAAGTTTTGCTTCTTTCAAGGTTCAAGCGTTTTTGTATCCTTAAGAAATCATGGTCTAACTCAAGGTTAGAAAGATTTTTTTTTCTTCTTTTTCTTCTGCATGGTTGTGTAATTTAGATTTTACATTTAGGTTTACTAGCAATTTCTTGTTAAATTTTTATATGATGTGAAGTAAATGTCAATATACTTTCTTTTTTTCCTGCATACGGATTCCCAATTGTAGCCACTGTTTTTGAACAATTATCCTTTATCCATTGAATTAACTTGTTGTTGTTGTTGTTATGTGCCATCGAGTCGCTTGCGACTCATAGCGACCCTGTGTACAATAGCCCCAAACTCCACTCTGTCCTGTGCCAATCGCACTGTCTCTGACACTCCCACCCCAATTATCCCAGTCACTGAATCAATCCACCTCATAGAG